ATATGGTTGTGAAATGGAAGCAAATGTTGCTTGATAAAAGTAATGAGCCACGTGTTTCACATGTTTGTTAAAACAAAGTTTGTTAAGACAATAAACCAACAAGAGAAGCAGGTAAAACCTAGCTTTAATATATTCGAATTTTAATATTAAAGAGCCTTATCGCGCTCTTTACACAGGTAGATATAAAGGTTACATGCGTGTGTTTGTATATTTACAATACAAAAGGTAAAGCACACAAACAAGTGTCTAAGGGCCGAGTTGATAAACACGGTACATTAAATTCATTGTTTACAACAACAATGTGTTGTGAGGAATATTATTCAAATGCAAATTGCCTTGCCTCGGAACTATTGTGTGTTTCGCAGAAATATTATCAAAAATGAAGTTCGAAAATCCTTTGAGATTAAGATGTATCTATTTTATTAACAAAGATGAAAGATTGATTTTGTACATAATATTAATTATATTTTCAAAGAAAATTTTAAATTTTCGAAAAAGCTATCGGTGTAAATTAAAAAAATATATTTAGGTAGGTATTATGAAGTGCCTCATAATATAAGTCTAATTAAATAGGTACCATTTGCTTCTATAATAACAGCTTTGTGATTTTTTACTGCCAGTAATTCCAATAAAATGCGTTTCACTGAAATGAATATTATTTCAAAAGATTCTTATAAATTTACGCTTAGAAATTTTAAGAAAATACTTGTAAGGTATTTTCTCAGAATTTCTCAAAATTGGTTGTTACTAATTATCGTATTTTTACGAAAAATTACTACGTTACTTTCGCAAATTTTATTATTAAGGTTATATTGATTATTAAGGTTATATTGATTATTAATGGCAGTGAAATATAACGTGTCATGAAAATTACATACTTATTTAGAGACAAACAATTTAGTTGGCAACATTTATTCGTCGCACTCAAGCTACTTTAGGTATTGAGCCAGTAAAAACGATAACGTGCAAAATATACTGTAACACAAAACAGCGGCATCGCTACTTTCAATGTTGACACATTGAAATAAGATACCGTTCTTTTAGTCGTGAGAATATTATGCTTTTCAATACGAGCTTGCATGACCGCGATCATCTTCCACTTCTTTTGTTTTACAGTTCACAGATAGAATAATTTTAATTCATTTAAAATGTGTATGTGGTAGTTTTTACTGTATAATTAATTAGCATTTTATTACGATAAGAATGAATCACGCCGAGACCTCCTTATAAAGTAAATTGTGATTAATCTACTCTGCCTTTCAACAAGAATAAATAAAAATGTTTAAATATTCATTGTTTTTTGTATTATGTTTACTATCATAATATTGTATAAATTTTATTTTAAAATTTGTAACATTTTCGGCGTTATATTATTTTATGTTTAATACCTACTACCTAGGAATAGAGACGGATTTAACAATATTCATGAAATGCATGGATAAAGCTTAAGTACAATTTAATGTTCTGGTTCCTATTACACTCTTCAGTACTTATATTAGCTCTATGATGGCCATCCTTTCCATTTTTTGACTTCACTCTGGCAGAATTCAGTTGATTAAAAATAAATATTCTCAAGAAATAGCTTATGCTTAGAGAGCTAAAGGTATTAATCTATTATAAAAGTTAAAAGCAAAATTATGTAAGGGATATTCTCGGAAACTACTGATCCAATTTTGAATATTCGTTCATTAATAGGAAGCTACGTTATCGGCGAGTGCTATAGGCCATTTTTAATTCCGATAAAATGTGTTTACTGTCAGAAATCATAATAATTTAAATTGAGTTATAAGAAAATGGCCGCTAGAGTTACTTTATCAGTTATTGTTAGACATCTAGGAACGTACGGTATGTCGCTAGTATATAATAAATATTAAATACATTCATAAGCTAAATAAAACATTTAAACATAAAGAAATTAAAGCACCTAAGCGTACATATAAATTGTTAAAAATTCATTCATATAAAATTACAGTTGTGTACAAAAGTGCAGGTATGCAAGCTATCGAAGTTAATACGGTTGATAGCGAAGATATCGCTACGTAGGCGGTAGCGCTAGTCGCTCCTTGATAATGGTAAATAGGCACATGTGTGCGCGATAGCTCCCGGCGCGTCGCCCATGTGTGCACTCGGTGACACAAACGATGATAACTCTTTGTTTTCTTTGCAACCACCGCCTTTTATCTGTCTGGTCGTTTAAATAATTAGGTTTCATACGCTATACATACCTACTAAGAATTGATATGGACCCATTAGCTAATATAATTCGTGGATCAAAGATAGCATTTGAGTGCGGTTATTGCACTCCTATCTACTTGATTATATGGGACTGAAGTCCCCTAAACAAAAATAGATATAGTTAACACAAAAAACTTTAAATTTCAGTATGTTACTAAGCGGTTTTGGTCAATTACTGTTTTATTATAGTTTACACAAGTTTATATGGATTTGATTTTAAATGTTAAATATGTAATATAATTTTTTTAAACATTCTTTGGATGGAACATAAATAACTAATTTTACAAAGTGGTATCATTGAACAACTCTGTTTACACTCTATCTTTACGAGGCTAATGATTCAGCGTACATAGGACACGATTGGAAAACTTAACATTACAAGCAATTAGTGATACGTGTATATAATTATCTAAGCAACTGTAATAATGAGCTGAGATCAATAAAGATTATTTGCAAGTTGCAACCCACATGGGTTGCAATAAATACATACCTATTCACGCTATATAGTGAATACGCGTTATTTTACAATTGTATGTCTATCGATTAAGTGGGTTATGCCCGATTTCACCAGCAACCCATAAGCCACACCTACGTATGGGATCCCTAGATTAAAAGTCCCCTAAACTAGCCCCTAAATTAAATTTCTTTTTACGAGCGTCTTTAAGCCCTAATTCGAGCACCTAAATTTAGGAGGCCTTTTAATATTTAGGTGACCCCTAACTGTCGGTGAACCAGAAACTGTCCCCTAACAGCCTCCAAACCATGCTTAGACATAGGTGACGTTGGTGAAATCGGGCATTAGAATGTTTTTATTGAGGATATCATTGATATTGTCAAAAATGAATATAACGAATATAAAACAGCGATTATACAATGCAAACATTTTTCATAAAAATGCCAAATCATTGATAGATAGGAAACGTTGATTAGTTGTCGTTTATCGCTTGTTATTTATTAGTCTTGCAACAATTCTTCCTACCAATTTGATTTTCATTCAGTTTGTACAGAGTACCCTACAATTCTTATAATAATATTGTAAAGATTCACTTTTCATAATTTAAAACCCCTAATACTATACTATTTTACTATACATTAGTTCTAATTATTAACACTAAAAATTGTAATAGTTACAGCATTTTAGTCTTAATTTTTAAATGGACTTTAAGTACAATTAAGAGCTCATATATATATATATATATATATATATATATATATATATATATATACATATAGTATTGAAATGGCAAACCTATAAGAATATAATGTTATAGACACTATTAACACATTAATGCCTCTTACTTTGTGTGAGCAAACAATTGCATAAACGATTTCCTTTATCGAAGGTCACCACATAAATAGGAACAATACAATAATATAAATAATTACATAACGTAGACTTGCTAGTATTTGGCACCGAATGTAACAACACTTTCTTTTATAATTCACGATTTGGCATTGATTGTAACTTATTTCTTTGTTAGAATTTGCTGTAGTTAAAGCCGGGCATTTGCCTAGCTTGAAGATAATAAATTAGATGTTCTATAATCTATACTAATATTATATAGTGAAAGTTTATATGTTTGGATGTATGTTCGTTACTCAATCACGCCAAAGCGGCTGAACGGATCTGGATGAAATTTAGCGTAGCGATAGATTATAGTTTTGAATAGCACATATGTAGGTTAATTTTTATCTCGGAAAAATGTAGTTTCCGTGAGATAGATTTGTTTTTGTTTTTTTAGAGACAATACCGAACGAAGCGAGGGTGAGAGCAGTAGTAGGTATATCTATCTACTACGTATGTGTCAAAGAATTTGAATGTACAAGGGAAATGCATAGAAATTTTAATATGTGTATAATTAAATGTATGATAAACTTCAGTTTATACGTACATACTATACATGATACATTACAATTTAAAGAGTTTGCATAAAGTAGATACCTATTATTATACCTACTTCACGTTGCCATATCGACACCTTAAGGTACTAATCTAGGGTATTTCCAAGAGCTATAACCATTTTATATACGAATATAGCATCTCAGTTTGTTTATTTGGTGTTATGAGATACGATAATTAATATCTAAATAAATTTTATTATTGTTAAATAGGTCTATTTCTACGTAAAATGTCGTTACGTTATACGCTTACAAACATCTTTCTCTTTGCTCATGTAAGTTGGGTCAAAGTTTATCGTTATTCAGTAAGTAGGTACTACTAGCTGCGCGTACTTTTCCTTGTTGGTATTATTTTAAATTTCTATTTCATATTGAACTTGTAAGAACTATTTGTTTTCATTGTTATTGTTTTTCTTTTCTTTCAGTTTAAAAAAATATATATTTATATTATTAATATTATTAGCATTAAATTAAAATATTGTGAATATCATATGCTTTAATGTTTTATTTTTAATAGAAAACTTTAAACAGAACTCTATGTGTAATGTTAAAATTAAAAATAAGTTCGTTTAACTTTTTCACAAGGACAATATGTATCAGAAAGCTTAAAGACTGTCAAAGCATTACAATTTAAACAGGTTTACTAAAGGCGTATGTAGCTCTATCTATCAGGTTAAGGTAAAGTCATCGACCATCGTGCAAGGTCGATTCCAATAAAAACATGCTATCAGTTTTATATAAGTATTACGGGCAATTATAAATAAATTATAATTTGAAGCCATTAACATTTAAGGATAATTCGACTAATATTAACCTGTATTCATTCCTAGTGCGTACTAATCGAAGATACACTACGGCTAGGCTTAGCGGCACACGGCACGACACGGCACGGTAGAGGCAGACAGCGACACGAGATATAGGACGGCAGAGCTGCGTCGGGAGTGTTGCGGACACACTCGGAAACAACCTAAATAAAGCGGGCCAGCATGGAATAACCGAGTGCTGACTCCGTCGACAGCCGTCTCGGCGGACACGGAACGCGCACACATGCGGCCGCAGCACACACGCCCGTCGCGCGCTTGCTCACACGATCTCGCCTCACGCACACATCGCTCGCTAGACGAAAATAAAATCCACTCGTTATGTGCCATGCAAATAGGAAGGCGGTGGGACATAATAGCGTGAACCGAATGAACGAGGAGATCCTTACGTTTCGTGGCACTGTCGCGAGACGGTCACGGGCGCAGCATCTCAGGCCGCGGGTCACGACACTCGGTCGGAGATCTCATCCGAAGGCGCAATCTTCTCCAAACACGTTCCGTATGTTCTCACGTATTCCGATGGAAAAGTACAGGGATATGACGTCCAAACAACATTCGGCACTTGCGATATCGCGGCTGTCTCACTGCGGTCACTCGGCAGGAAAATCAACGGGCGGAGATTAGCATGAATGATATCATACGATGTAAGAAGTACCACGAACGAGATGCGACGTCTGCGCGGGTCGCAGCGCGACTGGCGGCGGCACTACGCGGAGCCCCGTGCGTAGTGAGTGGCCGTGAGGCGCGGGGACGAGGAAACCCGGTGCGAGTACGGCGCGCCCGACACGCGCGGGGAGCGCGGCGCGGGCCGGGGGGAGGGGGCGCGGATTAATCACGTAGTAAGTATGCCCCCCGGGGCTGCGCCGCCCCCTCCACTTCACCCCCGCACATAGAACCTGCGCGCGCCCGATACATGAATAAATACTAAATGCAACGAGCGCTCGTCGTGCCAGACTGAAACCGGACACTTATCGGAGCTAAATGAATTCCTGGGTGAGCGTTGCCACCGAAACTTGGCTCTGAAGTCGTCGCTGCGGCCGCGAGGCGTCGCACCTCCGCTCTCTGTGCGCTACATTTCATGTGTTGCAATTTTGTAATCGTTCTTAAGAAAGTTATCAATCAACCCCACAAATTCAATGATACATAAAGGACATTCTCATTATTTACCGACTTATTTAGACATATAAAAAGGTTTTATTATTACTCAGTTTATATCCATTCAATGTCAAATATTATCATTCATTTACAATTTCTACCATTTCACTACTACTTCAATTAAAATTTGATTTCAACGTTCATCTCACACATATGAGTGAGCGAGGGTTTTTCCATTTCAACTGAGTTTTATTGTGTGTCCTAGACCGGTTTTGAGACTCTATCATTGGATGTTACGGTACCTTATACAATTACAAATTCATAACCATACATTTATATTACGAATTGTTTGTTGTTAATTAACTTTAGCGGTAAAACCACTTCAAAACTAGCATACACTGACTTGAAAAAAATTTAAACCCGTCCAAAAAGAAAGAGAACAGCAATAATATTTTATACAATGGTTCTACAAGTAGTGTACATCAGTAGTAATAACATAATAGTATCTTACAGCTTTACAACGGAACTACGATAAGCTATAGAAGCAAATGATACTGCCCTTCAAAACAAATGGGCTCGAATTAGGTTCTTTTGTTTACAGCTATATTCCACTTACTTTGATAAAAGATTTTAAGCCATAGAGGGAGGGATTTTGGTATAATTATATAACTGTTTATTTTCCATAAGACAAAACCTCCTGTTCATGTGAATTTATAAAATACTTGCCAAAATATAGTAACTGGTTGGAACTATGGTTCCAATTGAACATTATTTTTTAACATTTAAGGTTTTCTCATTATTTTTGATCTTAAATTATGTTTACCCCAAACTTAAAGGAAAATTACCAATATGATTTCTAAATTGTGTTTTAAGGTCAGTATTGTAAAATGGCGTGTATATATTAGTATCTAAACAAATACTTGTTCATCTAAAGGCCACGCGTTGAACTCTTCGGTAGGGCCATCGATCGATTTGTTACGCTCGCCGTTGGAAGATAACTGGTTTAGTCTTAAAATTGTGTATAAACATTTTTGGATAAGTAAACTTATCTATCAAATAGTTTGAATTTACCTAAAATAAGATCATATCAGGTATTATCATTCAACATAACATTGCATTAGTACTAAATACACAAGTTAATTCCATTTTAGATTATTAAATACGTATTTCATACATATTTACTAAAAAATCGACTTCAGTAACATTCAATTTAGTTTATATCTTGCTATTTATTCTACATAATCAAAACAAACTCAAGATATCCCAAGTATGGCAAGCATAATTCATTCACCTTGTTTTCTACAACGTAACCAAGAGCAGCTGGTCGAACGAGTTGGAACGCACTCTAAGAAAGTTTGCCTGTACTGGTCTTGTCTTATTTTAGTAAAGATGGTGTACATAATCAAGTTTTATTCCCGGAAATATATAGGATTTAATTGTACTAATAGCTTTATAAAAAAAACTTAGAGCCAATACGAGTAAGAAATCTTCTGACTATTAATAAATATTATCTACAATAAAAATAACTTATTAACCTGATGTTAATATATTATTTATAGAAATAGTTTATCTGAAACATAAATAATTTAATAACATAGAGTAATGATTGCAATATTATATTTAACTCACTTTTGGGCTCCGCTCGTGTAGTTTGTTTAGCATTTACTCCTCTCTCAAGGGAAGATAATATAAGTCATATTAAAAAACGCAAAAATAAAGAAGATACAAAAAAAAACAAAAACATAAGAGAAAAACTTGAAGTTTTGTATAGATTTCATCACTTTATTATATTGCTAAGTATAATTTTATATTAATTAGTACTTAATTATAAAAATGCCGGCAGTAATAGTGCTTATTGGTTAATTTCAAAGAAAGAAATTCATCCTGTTCAGATGTCTGTGATTGTAACTTAATAACGGCAGATAGATTTATTAATTGTATATAATATATTACAACTAGGTTTATGCCGATAAACTCATAATAACATATGCATGAAAAAAAAAATTATTTTTGTTTCTTTGTAAATATGGAAATTAAGATTATTTAGCATATTAATGACGGCAATTTTAACAACAACAATAGGCAAAAAATTAAAAAGTGATAGGCACAAAAAATGTTACAAGTACGTCACGCAGGTCATCGGTCGTCGAGAATCGAGATGTTAGAGTTCCGCGTGGGTAAGTGTGTGTCGGAGCGTGACTGTGAGTCCGCATAGAGCCGTGCTCTACCATGTCACACATATCGTTGCTTTTAACAACTACATTGCCCAGAATTATAGGTAATGGAAATACCTATAATTCTGGGCAATGTAGTTGAAAAACAAAAGGCGAAATGTACTTATTAAATGAACTTAGGTCATCGGTCGTCCAGAAATGTTAAGTTCCGCGTGGGTAAAGATGTGTCAGAGCGTGACAGGTGCGCCCGCGCAGCGCTGTGATCTACTATGTCGCTGTTTAATACATTCTCTTGTTGAATCTTCTTTTAATTTTTATTATTTAACCTACATAATTATTCTTTAAAACATAAAATACAAACATTTTTATATTGGCATATAAGATAAAATTAATGTAAGTAGCATGGCTGATTATTAATTTAAGAAATATTTTTTACATATTTATTTTGTTTTTGTTGTAGACTTACGTATGATATCAAAATAAAAATATATGTGACGTTGTCCTTTAAGTCTTAATTTGTGCATTCGACCTTATAAATAACTATAAATTAAAATATTTATTCGAAGAAAATTTTATTTATTTGTGGTTTGTCAGGTACATACCTCGTATAGGTGCTAGTTATACATAAGTAGAGTTATTTGCATTCTTAATGTTAAATTCTTCTTAATATAATTGAATATAATAATAATGATCATTTCATTTTCATAATATGTTTGAAATAATCATTGATGAATTTAAAGGGCTTTTATTGTCAATGTCATTTTAACCGCCAAGCAGAAAAAATGGTTAATAACCTCTTTATAATGACTATTTAACAAATAAATATTTAAAGACTAGACATGCTAAACAGGTTACAAAATATTACTGATAAAGTGTTGTCAGATTTTCCTTATGCTTTCATAACATTGGACAGCCAACGCACCTTGAAATCTTTAAAGCTGTAACGCCAAATCAGGTGACACACTCCTACACGCGTTAAACTTTAATAATAATTTACAATGTATCTGGTAATATTCTTAATGTATATTCTTCTTATAATATTTCTTTTTAATCTGAGCAATAAATCTACAAAATATATAGTTATGAAATTTAAATCATAATGCTTTATATTTGCCATTAAACAATAATAAGACAAATATCATAAATATGACAAGCTTTTAAGTAAAATTCTTTTACATACGGAAGGGCAGAGAGATGTGACGATTTTATAAGGTTTTTATTTTTGCTAAAACGTAATTAAAATGGTACCTATATCAAGTGCAGACATAATTTTGTTTTCATAATGTCTCTTACTTAGGTACTATAAAGTTCAAGCCTATTTTTGCTATCGAAAAAAATAATATTTGCATTGGAAAAAATCTTTTTTACTCCATTGGAAAAGTAAGTGTGAGATAATAATTTAAATGTAGTACACCACAAAACTTTCATATGACGATGTTAGACCTCAGCCCAGGGCTTATACAAAAGTACTCATGATAAACATTTAAAAATAAAAGTAAACTTTTTAGCAATAAGCTTAGAAAATTCATTAAAAATGGGAAACAGAAGGCGCTGCCTGAAATGGCACTATATCAAAGTATATTTCTATAATATTCTATGTAACAGATCTATTAACAAATAATTTAATAAATAAATAAAATAAGTATAGTTTATTGACACCCTTTCAATTTTCCTGGCTCAGACGTCTACCTTCCCACGCAAATAGAATTCTACTACATGTTGTAGGTACATTGAATAATACGGGATAGAATATAATGAAAAGAAATATTATTACATTATATTAATTCAATTGATCTACTTAGATCAATTGAATACTATATAACTAAATATACTAATATAACATACTTATCTATACTAATATTATAAAGAGGTAAAGTTTGTGATCTTGTGAGTTTGTGAGTTTGTGACGTTGTAGGGGGTAATCTCTGGATCTACTGAACCGATTTTCAAAATTCTTTTACCAATAGAAAGCCACGTTCTTTCTGAGTGTCATAGGCTATATATTAACATGAAAAATGAAAAGGCTTTTTCGTGATAGTCGGATTTGCAAAGTAAGTCGGAAAAAAAACGGTCGAACGAAAACGTTTCTTACGAACGCTGCCTTAACGATGAGAGATATATGATTATGTTCTAGAGAAAAGTTGTAGAGCTTAAAAATGCCTACAAAAAAGTCAGCGACAGCATATGTCTAACTTTTATATGTAAGTCACAAAAAGTAGTTTTTTATATAAAAAAATCATTTAAATTATAAGTAAATTTATCGTCTAAAATGTTTAAAATAAAAGACTTTTTCCTTTTACTGCATATAATTTGGACAAATGGTTAAAGAGATAATACAACATATTCGTATGTATGGACGAACCCGAGCGAGCTGTTTATCTGTTTTTCTCTTTGTACGGGCTAATCTCCGGATCTATTGGACCTATTTAAATGAAATTTTGCATGGTGGTACCTTATATCCCCCGGGCAACATCTTAGATACTTTTCATCCCGGAAAATTAAAGAGTTCCCGTGGGATAGTTAAAAAACTATAACAACTTATACAGCTTAGTACACAAAAACTACTGATTGGATTTTAATGAAACTTTACAATAATATAGTTCATACATGACAAAAACAAATCAGCTAATTTTCATCCCGGAAAATTAAAGAGTTTCCGTGGGATAGTCAAAAAACTATAGTAACTTATACAGCTTAGTACACAAAAACCACTGATTGGATTTTGATGAAACTTTACAATAATATAGTTCATACATCAGAATAACAAATAGGTAACTGTGTATCCCAGAAAAATGTACTTTTCCCGTGGTA